CCCCTCCGGGTCAAAAAGACCCCTGCCCAGGTTAAGCCCCTTCCCCCGAGCATGTGTAGTAGTAGAAGCATTATGTAAGAGGTATTGTAATTGTATGTTAATCACTAACTGATCAGTAACTGACAGGCATGTTTGGAAAAGTACTAATGTCTGATTTTTGTCTATAAAAGGAGGGTGAAAACCTGCTGTTGGTGTGCTTGATTTGTGGCGAAGTCCACCGAGCACCCAGGCCTACATAAATACCTTTACTGAGCATGTTAAAATTCGTTTATTGCACTCCGGGCATGCATCTGCCTTTCAGATAACACCACAGGCTGGTGGGGGTCTGGGGCCCAGCTCTGGCTGGTCCCCGGCCCCTCTGAGCAGCGGCAGGCAGGAGTGCCAGCATTCTGGTGAAGCCCGGGGCTTGGTACGGGTCTCTCCCCACCAGGGAGAGGGTCCTCTTTCCCCCCGTGCTTCTTGTGGCTTGTTTGGAAAAGGATAGCACAGGCTGTGAAGCATCATTCGGTGGCCTGGCAGCTGGAGCTGGGCGGTCAAAAGGGAGCTGGGTTTTGCCAAAACCCAGTGCTGAACGTACCATGGAGAGTTTAAACTCTCCACTCACCTGGGTTTCACACAGCCCCATCACTACAGACTGGCCACAGGGTATGAAATGAAAGCATCATGAGTGTTTCTAGATCCATGAAACTGTGCTTTCTAATACAGCCATGTTATTCTATTATAGTTGTTTTACGTAATGTTACAGCATTAAATTGATGTGGGTTCCTTATGGCCCCAGTCTGTGTCTGCTATGTTATATCAAGGGTGCCTATAAACACTCCTTGGTGGAGAAAAAGGTCTGTTTCTTGTAAGCTAAAAGGACAGTTTTACACTGCTGAACAAAGATCCCTGCAAGCTAAGATTACAGGAGAAATTTGATTAGGCAGTGTATTCTCTGCCCTTTCTTTCGTCTGAGAAACTCTCCAAGCAGCTGCTGGAAGGGATAGTATGTCATGTCTGCCTCCTCTGAGTAAAATGAAATGGTTGAAAGAACCAGATGCCTTTATTAATTGTGATTTAAAATTGGCTTGTGAAAAATACAAAGGGGCCGGAGTCATTCACTGACATATACACAGCAACAGAGGAAGCAGCAGGACTTAATGCACTGTCCTAAATATTTGCCAAATTTGCGTCACTGTAGCTCCACGGTCAGCCTTGTTCACATGTAGTAGTCTTAAACAGGCCCTGTACCTGGTTGTGGCAGAGGAGTTTCAGAACTGGTGGCTCCCTGATGTCCATGTGTCTCCAGAAATGGCCCTGGTCCCTGCAGTCAGCTGTGTTTCGTGTTTGTGTGGGGATCCCTCTGAACCCACAGAGTGTTCTGAATGACATTCTAAGGAGAAAGGGATTAGTTATTGTTTAAATCTCTTTTCCATGGGCCCAGGTACTCATGTCTTTTGTCGTCCGCCCATCTGTCTAGATTTGTTTTAGCTTTTAATTGGTCAGTGCTCTCTCTTCTGCACTACTCAGGTCTCCTGTAGTCATAGCATAATAGGATTTAAAGTATCAGGTGTCTTGGAAAAGGAGGTTATGCTTTGCTGCTGGAAGACACAGTAGGAAGTGGAATGGTTAAACCCAAAAGAGGATATCCAGACGCTCGTCCTCAGTAAGATTTGTTTGAGCACGCTCCATCACACTGGGAGATGCTGCCCTTTTTTAGCCTTCAAAAGATCACTCTATCTTCTGCAACTACATGAGTCACAAAGCTTTGTCTTTGCATTTAAAAAATATTATGCAACCCTCAAAATCGTAAGAGTTGATAACAGCCTGTCCTCCAGCCAGCTTCCCTGTCTGGTTCCCTCTGGCATAAAAAGATAGGGAGGGTTTCCAGATTCACCTCCTCCATGCCTCCTACCCACCTCTCCTCCACGTCTGCCAGTCTCTACTCTCTCAGCTTTCGTGTCCCATTAACAGCACAGAGATCATAGGCAGTGACAAAACCATTCTCCCATAGAATAAAAGGTGACCCAACTAACCCCTGAATCTTATGCTGTCTCTATTCCAAATAAACTTCAAAAGATATTAAAAATGTGTCACACAAATGTGACATGCTCCTGTCTGAGAACAGGAGCAGTATGTTGTCAGAGCAACAGAATAATTTAATCTGAAAGTTATGGATTAGAACTGTATCCCTCACAGTTAGAAACAACTTCATGACCACCTAGTCCAGTAAATGAGGCCACTTAGGTCTAAAGCACAGAGTATTTCCAGTAGAATTTCTCTATTTGTTGGAATGACATTCCTCTGATTTATATTAATTCTGTTCCTGATTCAAAAATATACATGTGTCTATACACACACCCATGCACTTGTATATGTGTTAATATTCATATTGAATTTATGTCTCTGTTTTTTGTAGTTTCTGAAATTCCCTTTTCATCTTTAGAACTCATTTTAATTAAAAACTCACTACGTTTTTATCTTTGTCTTAATGTGTTCTACCTCTTCTGTAATTCAAGTCAGTTGTGGTTTACCTGTAGCAAGTTTAAGCAAAGGTCTGGATTTTGAGGAAGTAGATGAGGAAATGGAAGATGCTTAGAGGTTGGTACCCATGAGGTTTTGGACAAGTCTGCACCTAGAACATTCTTAGGAATCTTCCACTCCTTCTGAGAGCCTTTCTGGGAATGGCAACCTGTGAAGCTTACGCTTAAGGTTTTCCTCTAGGTCACCCAATAAGTTTCTCAGTGTGAAAAACAAGTTGCTACAGTTAAAAACTGAAGAACAGGATTTTCAGAGGCATCACAATCTCTTCTTATGTGATTAGATAAGCAGGTATGCTGCATTCCTGAGGACCACAGTGGCTGCAGTTCTTGCACACCTTGGAAAATCAGGTCATTTCCAGAATTGCCAAACTATGAATTTAAGGTATTTAAGATTAGGCTCCTCTTAGAAAAAAGTACTGCTCAGATCTTACTAACTCTATTAGTTATTGCTTCAAAGCAAAATGGAAAAAATGGTGCTGTAACCTTTTTGATGAGCAGGGAAGTGTTGCCACGTTGTCCCTACCCTCAAAACAGAGTGCATTTCTAAAGGACTGTCAGTTTGTTCTTGGGCAGTGGCCAGAAAGGGCCATGATAAAGGAGAACTGGGATGGGCTGTCCTCCTCTGGTGCACCCAGGACTTCCAGTTTGACTTCAGGGGAGAAATATCTGCTTTTTACCAGTTCCTGAGGAGAGGGTCAGTGGCTGTGAGGAGCAGAGCTTGCTACAAGACATTTAAGCACAGATCTTTGTCCAGCATAACTCTGGTAGAAATCAAGATACAAGGGAGGGGAGGAGGCAATGTAACTTTTCTCTGCCCTCTATCTCCTTCTTATCTTTTTGCCTCCTATGCTACTCACCTCTGTTT